CTCTGCAGAAGTCAGCGTTTCATAATCAGAGAGGTGGGAAGCAGGTGCAGTGGGGAAAGTGAAGAAGGTCAGTGGCCAGGCTCCAGCATGCCTAGTGCTGCCCAGGCACAGCCCTGGATGCTGACCCTGGCTTCTGGGGAGAAAGGGACAATGCTTGACCTGGCTGTGATCAGGTGACAACTAGATACCTTCCTTTGTTCTCACCCCACAAGCCCTTGCAAACCCAGAGAGACTCAGTGCACCTCAGCTGGGTTACACAGAGAAGGAGCTGAAACCATCCGCTGTAATCAGAATGGGGCCCGGGGTGCAACTGAGGTGGGCAGAGGTCCAGGGCAGGAGATAGGGACCAGCAGGTAAGTGCTGGAGTAAAAGCTGCCCCAGAAAGATGGGCCTCTGTCCAGCCTTGAATGGACATCCAAGTTCAGCCCATAAGGCCGTTGGTGCCAATTGGGGGCAACCTTTTTGTCTCATTCTCAGAAGACTGCAAAAGAGAAAAGAACCAGAACTGAACACCCATGCTCAAAGGGTCCCATCCAGGACATTCAGCTTGGTTCCCAGACCCTTCTAGCAAGAAGCCCTTATTCAAAAGATGTGTTACAACAGCACAAAATGCAGAGCAGACGCGTGCAGCCTTTATCCACCCGACAGAGGAGGGGCCTAACCTGGAGACCCTAGTCCTGATCAGACTGCCACACTCAGCACCATTGCAATGGCTTTGCCCGTGGAGGACTGGACAGTGTCTGTCTTGGACTGGTTGTGGCTGCTGTGCTCACCGTGGGAACACTGTGCCACGCTGGAGAGAATGACTCAAAGACAAGAAAAGCATTGCGGCATCAGCCTGCAGAGAGCCAGAACCAGCCTGGTTACCTTAAAACATCCTCATTTTACTTACTCTTCTCAAACCTGTACACAGAAAGACTGCAGCCTGGGAGCAGCTCTGCAGAAACCAATAGACTCTGAGTGCAACTTGCCTGCAAATCTCTCACCCAGGGTGACCTCCCCCTGCTACATGACCCGACCAGCAGCAGGACAGCAATGGAAACAGAGCCAGGGGTCCTAAGGCCCCCCACTTCCCCCTCATGCTTAGCCTCTAGACAGCGTGTGTCACCACCGGTGGCTGGATCAGGGCCTCCTCGTAATCTCAAAGCCTCAAAGTTCCACCTTCTTTTCTGGCAGGACTTTGGGACACTGCTGTTGCTGGTTACATGGAAATGAGGAACTTCCCAGGCCAAAGCTGCTTGGGCTGAAAGGATGGGGTAAGGGCAAGTCAAGGCCCTTTCATTGTGTTCCTCTGGAGTCTCTTTTAAATAGCTCCAGAGTGTCTCTTAATTGTGCTCACTATCTAAATGACAAAAATTAGTATCTTAATTGATGTCTTAGTCTTGAGCCAAAGAGGCTTTGATTTCTTGTAGCAAAGTGACTACTCATTTAATGTAAAGATTAAATCAGCAGGTGGGCCTGGTGGTGCACATCTGTAATCCCAGCACTCAGGAGGGTGAAGCAGGTAGACAGGCCATCCTGGAGCCAGGTCCCGGTGGTTCACACCTGTAGTCCTAGCTACTCAGGAAGCAGAGATCGGGAGAATTGCAGTTCAAAGCCAGCCCCAGGCAAATAGTTCATGAGACCCTATCTCAAAAAAAAGGGGGAGCTGGCAGAATAGCCTAAGTGATAAAAGCACCTGCCTAGCAAATGTGAGGTCCTGAGTTCAAATCCCAGGCCCTCTAAGCAAAAAAAAAAATAAATAAAGGGACTGTTAGCACCAGTCAGCACAGCAGCCTTCAGTCAGGCCCCTCAGAAGCTCTAGGAAAACGCTGAGCCACACACACATAGCCTCCAGCCCTGGGTGGGTGGGCTGGGACCCCTCTGGGGTGCACACTTCTGGCTCTTCCCAAAAGCAGGCAGGCAGGCATGCTGGCCCAGATGCAATGGCTGCCCCAAAGCCAAATGCAGTCTCCCTGGAAGAAGGTGGCCATGCCTGGGGAGTGGGGATCCCTCTCCCCAGGAAGTAAAGACTTTGCTTCCTCCTAGGAGCCTGGGAGCCAGGCTTCCTCACCTGCCATCCTCTGGGGAAAACCAGAGACTGTTACCATGTTTGATAAATAAGGTAGTAAAAAGGGGTCCTTCTTTCGACAGAACCCAGAGATGCTGTAAAATAAGTGGTGGAAGAGATGGCTGGTCTGCCTGTTCCATCCAGGAAAAGTCTCCTCTTGAGAGAAGAGCATCTCCAAGTCAGTTCCACTCCCCTCCAGCCCTTTCCAGAGAGGTGGCCCCAGGACCCTTGCCTCTGACATCGGTTGGCATGGCAGCTGACTGTTTGAGCCTCTTTTGCTTATTCTTAGCTTTTGCTATGCAGCAAAGGACCTTAAAGCTCGGTGGCTAGCGTGTGACAGCATAATGTTGATTTAACTGTGGTTCTGTGGCCTGGGGATTTGGGCTGGGGTCCTTTGAGCAGCCCTGCTGGGCTCTGCTGGGGGCTGCTAGGTGCAGAGGGAGCTCAGCTGGGGACATCTCATGACTCTTATCCTTTAGTGGACTGCCCCATGCTTGGGCAGTGGGTTCCTAGAGTCACTCAAGAGGGGAAGCTTTGCTTCCATCACACCTGGTAATATTCTACCAGCCCAAACAGGTCCGGCAGGAGGGCAACTATTATAGGCTCTGGATGCTGGGGGAAGGAATGGGCCATTTTTGCACTCTGTCACTAGGATGTTGTTTAATCTGGAGCCTAGCCCAGGGACACAAGCCATGCACGTATTAATTATACAGAGCTGTGCACTCCCCTATGTTATGATGGAGTGTGATACAAGACACAGAGAGGTGAAGGGTGTTGCCTGGGGTCACACAGCAAGCTGGGGACAGTAATAGACTAGGAAGATAAACTGTGCCCTCCCCAGGCACCCACTGTCAGCAGCCACCACCACAGCTCTCCTGCCCCTGCTGCTTCCACTCTGGTCCTAGCGTGTTTCACTCCTGAGTCTTGTGCAATTTACAGCTTTTACTTGCATAGGTGAGTTGTGATGGGGTCATGACCACTGAGCAGTACTTGGAGGCAAACCTAAATCTCTCCTCGGGTCTCCTATACCCATGGCTCCACCAGGACACCTTGCCTGACTTGCCTGCCCATTGGTGTTACTTTGAGGGTCTGGTGTTCTATGCACAAGGATGTCTGCATTTGGACGCCTCAGAGGGGCGGTTTCTGTCTCATCTGCACCTGCCTGAATGCGCAGAAATAAAAAGATCTGGAGATCAGGAGGCCCAGAGGCTTAGTCTAGTCTCACGAGCCCCATGCACCCTGGAAGCAGTGCTTTGCTTTGCCCTGCTCTGCCACCTGATACCCACTTGTGACCACTGCACTGTGATTCCTCCCACTGATGGTGGCCAGAGGCAGTAGGGAGCAGAGCTGCGCTGCAGGAGGGCTGGGAGTGAGGATGACTGCATCAGAATTGGGATCTGAAGAGGAATTGAGTCTGCCTGTGCTGCGCTGGTGCCTCGCGGCAGTGGCTCAGAGCCGTGCAGAAACAATTAACTCCTCATGAAATAGGTACGGTGGACAGCCCCGTCCTGCTCATCCAGAAGTTTGAATGCAGTCCCTGCTCTCCAAATGGACAGGTGGAATCGTGGAGTTTCAAGATGGATCATTTGATCAAACTGCTCCCTGGATAAAGAGAAGACGGGAGTAGGACAGTGGCCCTGTGACACAGACAGTTGTGTCAGAGCAAGGGAAGCCCCTTGAAGAGGAGAGACTGATTGTACTTCCTCCTGAAGATGCGAAGTAGTACTTTCAGATCCAGGCTTGTCAAGGATGCCACAAATCTGCAACAGTGGACACCAGAGGAACTGCCATCTTCCACTCCTCCCCTCCTCCCCCTACCCCCTACCCCACAGCAGCTCCCACAGGCAGCTGAGTGAGGATATCACCCACTCTGCACCATCTGGGAGCCCCCTCCTCTCTTCGGTGGACTGGGTGGGTGAAGGGAGCAGAAGGCCTCCAGGTGGCGCAGGTGAGCAAGGCAGGGCTGGACACTGCTTCTTTAATTCGTTGGACTCTCAGCCACCTAACAGTGATCCCCAGAGAGTGGGCAGCACCCAGCCCTATTGGCTTCTTCGCTTACCTCATAACCCAGAGGGAGTGGGGAGCATCCCACTGTCCAGGAGAGAAGCCTGGGTGCGTGGTGGGCTTCACCTGGTTGTACAGACAGGTGGGGAGTGGGCAGGTGGCCTAGATGAGGCAGGATGAAGGGGTTAGGGCCCCTGAGGAAGGCAGGAGGCCCGGGCTAATGGCTGTGTTGGAGAAGCAGGTGGGAGAGACCCAGACTGTGCCAAGGTGGTTTCTCTAGGGTCCAACCCACCCATATCACCAATCTGTGATTTCTGAGTTGTCCAAGGTAGGGGTTAGGAGGGCTGGCAGGGGGTTGTAGAAGGAAGAAGAGTTGGGCACAGAAACATAGGGACACCTAAGACAGGGCCTATCTATGGAAGGCTGAGCTGGGCAGTTTAGGCAGGCGGCTGGTGAGGGTCCCAGGAAGCCTGGAACTGTATGCAGTCATGGTATCTTCCTGGAAGAAGAGGAAACCAGGCTTAAAATGCTCCGGACACTTTGCAGTATAGTATATGGGGTGGGGGAAACAAGTTGTCTTTTTCAAACTCAGTTTTTTTGTTGTTATTGTTTTAGGCTACACTGGGGTTTAAACTCAGAGTCTTGCATTTGCTAGGCAGGTGCTCTGCCTCTTGAGCCTCACTGCCAGCCCACAAATTGTCTTTTTACTAAAATCAGGTAATGACTTGAATCTGAGCTACGATCTACCGCATACCCCTCAGGCCAAAGGCACCTTGTGTCTGACCACACAAGGCTCCTAAATCGTGTACTCCATAAATAACAAACAGCAACCGCAAAATGCCTCCGCATTAAATCAAAGCCTCCAGCTGGGTGCCTGGGAAGTCGTCCTTCCCCCGGCCTGTGGTGAATCCAGGGTTAACCGCTCCTGTCTTCTCGTCCCCTACAGGCACCGGCCACAGCTATGCCACAGACACACTCCTCTCCCTGCTCCTGTTAGCCCTGCATAGGCTCCTGCACCTGCTCTTGGGTCACTGACAGACAGGACACCTGAGTGAGCACCTCAGCAGCCATGTGACACCTGCCCACACCCCCAGGGAGGACCACGTGGCCAGGTGGACACAGAGACTGAAAGAAGCATGAAGTCCACACAAAAAACAAAAGAATCATATTTTTTGGGGAAGTCACACAAATCTAGAACACCTCAAATAATGCATCTAGTTTCCAAATCAGATGAAGCTGGAACCATGCACTGTGCATGGGGCCAGAGAGTTCTCGACTGTGATGTATTTTTCTTTTCTACACTTTTTTCCAAGTGTTCATTTTGCACGAACTCTGGAGCAGGTGTTGTTAGGATAATATGTAAAATTATATATATATTGGGTCGCAGCCTTCCTGACAAAGCAAAATATTTTTAGTAGATAATTGTGTTTAGGAATTTTTTTTAATTTCATTTTTCGTTAGGGGGGGTGATTTTCTTTTTTTATTAAATTATTTCTTTTTGAGACATTTTGATTAAAGACACATCATAATTAAAATTCACTGTCAATAATATTTATTTTTAAATAAAGATTGGAAACAAAGTCAGACACTTGTTTATAAACCGTATTGTATACTGTTGAATTCACAGTTGAATAAAACGCAACTTTGAAATAACCTTTCCACAGCCATGTGTGACTGTTCAACCTCGGTGACCACTGCAGTCGGGGACACCATGACGTCCTGTCTTGTCGGATGACACCAGCTGCGCTCTTGTGACTGGATGTCTCCCAGCATGGAGAACAGCCTGGGATACTGGCAGCGGTCACAGCCAGCAGTCCAGAAGCATTTGCCCAGCCTTTCTCAAGGGGCAGGAGACTTTGTGGAGGCCAGGGTGAGAAGAACCCCAGCCTGGATCCAGAAGGAAAGAGGTCGCTGTGTGATCCAGAGCCATTCTTTCCCCTCTTGAGCTAAAAAGCTGTGCAGTGCACTCGTCTACTTGAAGATGTGACATCGGGTGTACTTACTGTTGCTGGCTTCACTGCTAGCTTGTAAAAGAGAACTTAGAAGGAAGATGAGGTCTTCCACGTCCTTTCTTTTTGCATCTGAAAATCTGCGGGCTTTGGGATAGGTTCACATCTGAAAGAAATTGATACACCCTGGGACCTGCTATTTTTCATGCTACAAGATTCACTTAAGTAGCCAGACCCCCTGGGCTTGAATAAAATCAAGTTAAACAAGTGTGGTTGTCACTGATACTGCCCAAAAAATGCTCTTGAGCTCTGCTGACCGGGCAGATGGCATGGCTACACTTTCTGGCACCTGATGGCTCTGACTGTGGATTGCTTGATTACTTGTTCAAAGCCCTCTGAAGCACTCAATTCCTCTACCATGATAAGTGGCAACATTCAAAATAGTGAGTGACTGTTTTGAAGAATCAGCCTTCACCATTTCAAGCTCCTGAGCTGTGGGTTTACTTGTTATTGCAACCTAACCCAGCCCATCCTGACTGCTTTGGTATTCAGTTGACTAATCAGAGTTAGTTAAGAGGAGAGAGAACAAGTATGGTGTAATACACCTGCAATCCCAGCTATTTGAGAGGTAGAGGCAGAAGTGTAAGCCAAGCTACTCAGGAGGCAGAGGTCAGGAGGAGCATGGTTCAAAGCCAGCCAGAGGTAAACAGTTCTCAAGACCCTATCTTGAAAAAACCCAACACAAAAAAGGGCTGGTGGAGCAACTCAAGTGGGAGAGTGCCTGCCTAGCAAGCTTGAGGTCCTGAGTTCAAACCCCATCACAGGAGCTGGTGTGAAACCAATGTACTAGGGCATCTTTGGGAAGAAAACTCAGGACTGCTGTTTCTGGGAGATACATGAAGTTGTTTCCATCCGATTTCTATCAATCAGCACCAAGTAAGCTATAAAGGTAATCATTTTGTCCGGTGGATAGGGATCCCGTCCAGAAGGATCATCTATTTTTACAGTTAACTCAATACTGCAGTGGACTAATGTCCTGTAAAATACTGGCCCTCTGTGTTTGTAAAGAAAAAGTCACTTCCCGAATGTCAAGTTGGATGGAGACGTGTGTTGGGGATGGACTCTTGTGGCAGCTCGCTCCAGGGGGCAGGGAGTCACCTCCCATCACCAAAACCAGACGGGTCCCACCAGTACTGTCAGTCACCTTCCTGCGGGGAGCTCCTGATCCTGGAATGATGTGACGTTCATGAAAATGGGGAGACAGGTGCGCTCTGGAGAAACCACTCTCCTGACCTGGAACAGAGCCACAGGGATCCCATCTGCCCCCCGAGGACCAAGCACATCCAGGAAGGAAATCATGGGCCAGCTGGGCGAGTTCTCTGAAGTGGAGGGTTAGCCCCCCATTTCAACCCCAATTACAGAAGCCCTTGGAATGCAGGCAGAAACTGCAACCACCCAGGCAAATAAAGCAAACCTCCCTGGTCCTGGGCCACAGGAGACATTGGTGGCATGTATCCCTGGACACAAACAAACGAGAAAGAATGGGCGCACCTCGGAGGTCTCAGTGAAGACTCTGCTCTCTGGCGTCCCTCCTCAGCACCCCAAAATGAAGACACAGACAGGGCAGCCTGCAGTGACTGTATGTGCAATACAACACTGGAGGGACAAGCGGGGCACTGGGCTCGCTCCCAAGCTTTGCTCTCAGCTCAGCGCAGACACAGGTGGGGCCCAAAGACAAGATGGCTTGTTTCCATTGGAAAGAACGCACCCACCGTGGTGATGAGTGCTCTGGCCCCAGCCTGTGAGGACCCCCGATCTACTTGCTCATCATTACAACAAACACCAAAACAAGCATGGCAGGGGAGGGGGCAGGAATTTCAGTTTAGCAGGAGGTGACATGACCAAAAGCAGCAGCATTCTCACTTTTGGTTCAACCCCAACCCATCTCCCTAGATACAACTCTGGACCCCCCCAAAAAAAGGGGGACTGTGTTCAACTGATCCAAGATGACCACAGTTGGAGCATAACAAACCAACAGTCACTCGTGATTGGCTGGGCTCAGAGCTTTTGACACTGACGGTCAGGAAGACAGCTCTTGTTTTTTAGTTTGTGTGTTTGTTCGTTGTTTTTAGACAGGGTTTCGCTACATAGCTCAGATTGGCCTCGAACTTGTGATCCTTCTACCTCAGTGTCCTGAGTGCTGGGAGTACAGGAGTGCACCACCACACCCAGGTCATTCTTTTTTTTTTTTTTTTTGTAGTACTGGGGGTTGAACTTGGCCTTGCACTTGCTAAACAGGTGCTTTACCACTTGAGCCACTGCTCTCTCTTGCTTCTTCCCTATGGACCCCCCCACACACAATCAGGCGATGATAGGCGTCCATTCTGCCAGCATTTCAGAGGCTGCAACCCCTGCTGTTCCTGGATAAGGGCCTGGTGCTCCTGCCCCGTGTGTATGCACATGTCTGCATCTGTGTAGAGCAGACCCTACTTAGAACACTTCTGCTTTCCTTCTCTGAGTGGTCCTTCAGTGAGTGACCCAGTAGCAGGAATGACCTGGCACAAGAGAAACTTCAGCCCATCTGGTCACCAAAGGATGGTACTTTGCACCCTGCCATCATGAACCAAGCACCAGCACCACCCACCAAGCCAAAGACACTCACTTTACCTCATCCCAGGGGCTCTAGAAATGCAAGAAGACCTGTGACCTTTACAAAGGACCTGCCCTGTCACTGCTGCAGACAGAGCATGAGGTAAAGTCTAGAAGCATCACCAGAGGTGACCTCTTTTAAATGACAAGGACCCAGGGAGCACTGAGAATGTATTTCAAGTCAAAGAAATCATGACTTTACACCAAATCTAATCCATCAACAAGCCAAAAAAATCAACAAAGTTTAGATCTGCTCCATGCATCTGATTTTTTTAAAGGGGAAATAATTTTAAAAAGAGATTTAATAGAGTAGACAATGACACTTGGGAAGCAGAGATGGGAAAACTGAGTTTGAGACCTGCCTGGGCTTCATAGAAAGACCCTGTCTCAGAAGAACAGAAGAGTCAGGCACATGGTGGCTCACACCTGTAATCCTAGATATCTGGCTGAGATCAGGAGAATCAAGGTTCCAGGGCAGCCTGGGCAAAAAAAAAAGTTTAGGAGACCCCATCTCAACAGGAAAAAGCTGCACATGGTGGTGCACAGCTTTCATCCCAGCTATGGTGGGAAGAGTAAAATAAAAGGATTGCAGTTCAGGCTAACCTGGGTAAAAAGTGAAAACCTATCTGATAACCAAAGAAAAAGGGCTGGAGGTGTGGTGCAACCAGTAGAACACCTGCCTCACAAGCCTAGACCTCCACAAACCTAGGTGATAGATGATAGATGATAGATAGATAGATAGAAATAAAGATGATATCTGCTAGATTTTGAAACTAGGAGGGACTTCTTAAATGAGACCCAAGAAGTGGCAACTATAAAGGATGGTAATTTGCCTACATATATGTGAAAGCATTTGCTTATCAAAATCCACCACAAAGAAAGTGAAGAGATACAGAAAAACAACCACCAAAGGTCAGCTATCAAGGACATAAAAGAAATTCCTAGAAACTGAGGGTTAGGCACATGGTTCAAGTGGTACAGCGCCTGCCTAGCAAGCATGAGGACCTGAGTGCAAACCCCAGTGTGCCAGTATTGCCAATGCATAGATATAAATAGAAGGAAAATTGTCACTAATAACCAAAAATCAGATGTAAGAACTTTATTTTTTATTTTTTGGTGGAACCGGAGTTTGAACTCCAAGCTTTGCACTTGCAAAGCAGGTGCTCTACTACTTGAGCCACACCTTCAGCCCCAGATGTAAGAATTTTAAAACAAAAGTCCTAGAAATCAGTAAGAAAAGCACGAAGAATCCAATGGGATGATGGACAGAAGGAGTGACCCTCCATGTCATGGAAGAGAAAGCGTGGTCGGTACACTTATAGAAGGTTTTTAGCTCCAGTTGTGATCAAATGAAAGGCAAATCAAAGCCAGGATGACCATACCACAGAATTACCAGTGATTAGAACTCTGAGCAGCAGATTTTGCAGCGGACGGATC